TCAAATTGTTTGATTCTCTGATCTGTTGTTGGTGAATTGACAACTTTGTCAAGTCCTCCGAGATGACTGCTCTTGTGATTTAGAGAAAGCACTGAATCACAATAAGTTGTTCCATGTTACAAGCCGTAACCAAAAGGCCTAATCATAAAATAGAATAATATTAAGATTGACAAAATAATCACACGCCATTTGTGTGTAACAATGAATCCAGGTGTGAGCTTGTGCAGCGTGGGTCTGCCTCAGTGAAGGAGCGGCCACCACCCTGTAACCATGACAATGCTGTCAGCTGCAAGGGGCGGGGCAAAGACATTCTTAGAGAGAGCTGATTGGCTGTGAACAGGTGTGCTGATGTGCACCAGGCGAGTCGAGTACCAGGGCTGCATCCTAAAATATGCCTCCTCCCTTTTTGTTGGCTTTTCACAAGAGCTTTAGGATTATAGATCAGGCTAAAAATAGATTTTTAAAAAATTCAATGTTGAATCCTGTTAAATATGGATAAAATGGCTTATAATGATGTAGAAATATACATTTTCTTCCGCTTTTTCCGTCTACGTTTATCTCTAAAGCAGGGGTGCCCAAAGTGGGGCCCGCGGGCCAAAGTTGGCCCGCCAGACCATTTCAGTTGGCTCGCCAAACATTGCCCACCTCCGCTATAAGTTTCTATCTGCGTCCCTCAACCTCGCTGAACAAACAGTGACATGTCTGAGGTCGCGCGGGCGCATAGTCACCCTCTGAATTCGACTGTGCAGTACTTATCGAGATACACTCCTCACTCATGGTTCACATCAACTTGCACTAAAATGTTTTTTAAATTCAAACACATCTTTCAAAACAATTGGGTGCAAGGCCCCTTTATGTTCTTTTTTTTCAGCCTACTAGTATTATTTTTTGGAGCTATTTAATGTTTTATCAAATTGAGAGGATTGTGCTGGTGAACTGCCACTCCCCCTCCTCACCGGAGGGAAATGGCGAGTGGAACTATTCACCTGCGCAATCCGCACCCACCCGGTGTGTTAAAAAGGACGGACACAAACACTTCAGAGTGAGTTCAAGCAGGACAAGCAGGGATCGCAGCGCACGATCCACGCAAGTAGAAGCAACAAATACTGTGCAAAACAAACCCTTCTACAGCCCCATGAAAGAAGCCGGTAAGCGCCGTCCTCACTCGCGATCATTGAATGTCAGAACTTACGCAGAGTTTTATGGTGCGTTCAAGAGCCCTTTGGAGGAGCGGAAACACGGACTCTTTAACAGTTACTTTGTTTTGATTGTTTATAAATGTTGTACTATGTTTAGGCAAAACAAAACAAAACTCCAGGAACAAATCATGGTTAACTAGTCTGATTTTGTTAGTTTAATATTCAGTTCACTACTAATTGAGAATACTTGTCCTATGTTAAAACAGAGTTAAAACCTGATCATGTTTAGAAAATGCAGTTAGCAATTATGTTCCCAAATTCATTACTTAATGTTTAAATGTATTGTTTAAAAGTGTGCTAAAACCAGATCTATTGATCAGTGATGTCTCCCCTTTTTGATAAAAGCTAAGATAAAGTAATATGATTCAAATGTAGTTAAAAACTTTTGTTCAAAATAAATATATAAAAATAGACTTGGAAATTGCTTTGGCTCAGTGCAACAGAGATAATAAAAATAAAGAATAAAAAACACTTCTAAGGAATAAATTTAAAATTAAAATAGTTACAGTTACTATTTACAATATACAAGTGCACATGGTGCACACAAAATGTATGTTTCTGTTCTCTTTTTGAGGTTTTATTATATGATTTTAACCTGTAAATAAGCCATGACAGATAATCTCCCTCCTCTGGACCCTGATTACCCGGCCGGAATCTTTCCGTACTGTAGTCTCCTCAAACCTGCATATTTCCCTGGAGTCTCCACTTCACTAAGACTGTGTTGATTTCATTCATTCAGCTGTGATTTGCACTTATAGACAATAATTAATGCATTTAAAAGAACTTGATCAAATCTACATTTATTTGTGTTTCATGCATAATATCGGTGTATTTGGCCCGCGGCCGACTGGCAAATTTTTACTTTGGCCCTTGGAAGCAAAAGGTTTGGGCACCCCTGCTCTAAAGGGAGCAACAAGCCACTATGTGGAGGAAACTCATTTCGACCATTTTTATCCACAAACACATTCTTATATGATACATCATTTAATTCAAATTATTTTGTTTTAAATCAACGCCCTTTGGACTGCTTTACAAATAAAATAAGTATGATGTTGAAAATGTTGCATGTCTGTGTAAAGAATATAGTCCATTTATAACAGGCACCAATATTTGCAGTTTCCTATTTGGGACCAATTTGCAGCTAAAGGTTCATTGACTGATCATGGACACATTTCCAGACAAATGGTAACCTAACCATGACATTTAATAATAAAATATAACATTACTTGTTATGGCGCTTTTCTAGACTACTGTAGCCATAGCTGCCCTGGGGCACACACTCTCTCTCACACACACATGTGTGTGCAGGAGGTGCTGCATTTACAGCTGAGATGTTTGTGTTTGCATCATGTCTTTGGTAGAGCAGAGTCAGGGAGTCTTATTGTTAAAAAAATAATTTAAAAAAACCCAAAAAGTTTGAATAACAGGGTTAGGATTAATAAAATACACATTTGAAAGATGAAAAATATCTAGTAAAATTGTTTAAAGTAATAAAAGCTGTGCAATTATAATTATGAATTCCTCCCTAAGCTATTGGGAAAAGAAATAGATAGGTGACAAATACACTTCCTGCAAAGACTCATCTCTGGTTTCAAATTGTCACTGAGATCGACCGCATCGATAGTCTTTGTATCGTTTCATGTGTTTTATTTGTGCAAAATGGAAATTAACATCAACTTTTTAAAAACAGACAAAAAGACACATGTAGTTTCATTCTGGTCAACTTTAATGACAAAATGATTTCTCCAATGAAACTCAAAAGCAAATGTCTTCCGTACAATGTCAATACGCTTTTTTTAACCCGCAGTCTGAGGGAAACCTGTCTTTTCACATTTACATCCAGCTCTTTCTTCTTCGCCAACAAAAAACATTGGGATTTCAATCACAAGTGAGCTAAAGTGGACAAGAGCAAAAGAAGGCTTTATTCGAGTCAAAGGCTGAACGTTTGAGCTAAATTATGAGCAATTGTCACTTGATAATTCCTGATTAATTTAACCAAAGTAGAACACTCCTGAAGCTTCATCATGAGCAATAACTGAAAAAATATTAACCCAGGTTGTGATTGTGTTGGTCATAACAGTACTAGCAATAATTGCACTTGCTAGCTCAGTGTCTCAAAGCTAATTCTAGAGTTTACTAAAGCGTTAAACAAAATAATATTCAGATGTGTTCTCATTTTTTATGTTTTTCTTTTTTCAAATTATTCCACGAAATTAGGAATTAGCATTAGCATGGAGACCAAATCTTCATGAAAACTCCTCCTGAACTGGAACAGCATGTAGCGACGCCAACACTGAGCTAGCATAAACACATATATGCACACTATAATATATTGTACATAGTTTTACTTCACTATAAAACAGAGACCTGATTCAAAATATTTATTATAAGCAAATATGTAAAGAGGATTCGTTATTTGACCAAAGTAAATTGTATTATCGGTTCATAGATTCCTGGGTCAAATATTTACCCTTTTAAAATTCTGATACCACATTAACAGTAAACATGCGCTCTCCAGGCTTTAATTTCACAGGATAAATTTGCTACATAAAAAATGCCATGCAGTCAACAACACTATACATAACATAACCTTAGCCTGGAAAACCATGTTTGCTGTAATATGTATTTATCAATGCGGCCATGAATCTGGACGACCGGCACTTCATCCGTTTGGCAAAAAAATCTTGGGAGTGTGACAAAAAAAAAAAAAGGGAATAAATATTTCTAAACTATATGAAAGTACATTACATTATTATTTTCCCCATTTAGGTCAAATTATAAAAGAGGATAAGAAACAGGGCTATTATTGAGTATAGCAACTTATTAATTAGATAAATAATAGTATTTTAACGTATTTTACGATTGATAAGGGCATACCAGTACCCAAAATAATGACTATTAGATAAAAGTTAATGCTATCGCTAATGCTACTGCTAAATTAGCTAAATAAGCCTATGTCTACAGATTGATTTTTAAAGTTCAAGGTTTACACAGATAACCCCAAACAAGCAATTGTTGGTAAATAAATCCTATTCTATAAACCACACCCAACAAATAAAAATAAAAAAAAAGCAAGTTGGGTTAGCCTAAGAGTTAGCACGCGGCGTCTAGCTAGGTAGCGATATGTTTTTAGACACGGGGGAAATGTAATATTTACGAGTTGGAGCGGGACAAATTCAAAACGCAAAATAATCATAAAAATACTGTTAATGTCAAGCCTACGGTTCCAAGTCACGCCACTTCACGCTTATTGTCTCCCCCAGTGCAAATCACAAACACTTGTGGTTTTTAAATGGCCTCTACGGTAACTGATGACAGCGCATTTCCGTCGCATAATAAATACGAAAAGTTGAAATAATCTAGAGAGAAAGAAACGTACAAAGCAAAAGGCATGATCAGTTCGAGTAGCCCGCGGCGTAGGATTTTTAGAGACCATTTTTTTAGTTTTATATACGAAATGTTGGGCTACTGACGTCAGGTGGCACAATCTGTGGTCAAGCTGGACAAGCCTCGATTTTCACATCTGAAAAAGGGGCAAAAAAGTTTGGTTTGCTGCGAAACATCCCATCCCTACGTTTTAAAAATGAGTGAAGGCGGCTTTATCTACAGACAGTCAAACAGCCAGTCACGAAAAAGGGGGAAGAATAAGAGGTGCGAAAGGAGGGGCTGAGAACATGGCATATCTCAGGGACGAAAAGGAAAGGAGGGAGGAGAGGGGGAAGGAGGGGCAAGCGGGACAGGGGGGACACAATCGTCGACTCCACTGTGGCCACTTCGCAGGCACTTTGTCTTCAGAAGGGTTCAGAAGGAGCTGGTGGGTGGCGTGGTCAGACGCTTTCCGATGTACACACTGTAAGGCAGAAGGGAATAGAATACATTACAAATGAGTGCTACAAGCCGAGGGCCCGATAGGTTCAATGTTTATTAAAAAACATATTAAAATGATTGCATGTAACCTATTGAACCATGGCCTAACACGGAGTACCATATTTTATTTCATGATTAAATTAATAATCCAATATTTTTTGTATGGCTCTGTATGGCTCACAGACAAAAGCAAACATCCTCCAAAGAGAAAACACATTAAATGAATAATCAAAAATGTTCTCATGGCTCTGTGTGGGCCAGTCCTAATACTGATCAAATATTATTGGACGTCTTGTGTTTCTCACTTTTCCCCACTGTTTTTTTTGACAACTATGTGAAGCCCTCTGATGTATTTAGAGGATATAATATAATTTATACAAGATCATTTCTGTGCAGGCCGGATCTGTCCCCCGGGCCTTGACTTTGACACCCGTGCTTTAAACTGATTCTGTGTTGTTCCCAAACCCATCAAACCACTCTGGCAGCAGTCTACAAACAGGGTTTGTTTATTATACTAAGTAAAAGTAGAAGGTATAAATGTTATCTCAATATTATATAAAAAATTAAAACAAGATGAAATAAACAGAAATATTTAAATACTCAGCACAATTAAACGCACCATGTTTCCTGCACAAAACTCATCAACATAAGTGAGTCACCTCTATATGCGTCCGAATACATTTCCAGTATTGGCGTCTCCTGTACTCTTAAATGCATCTGCTGGCCATGTCTCAGAAGTATCTGCCATACGTGGTTCCATACCAGCGTAAACACAGTAAAAATGGCTCCATCCAGTCAAGTTGCTTTTGAAGTCTCGTCTTTCTCACTTTTTCCCACTGTTTTTTTAAAGCCCTCTGATGTATTTAGAGGAATACAAACATGAATGCAAAAAAAAAGAAAGAGTAAGTTTCTTTTTCCTGATGACAGACAAATCTCTCATGGATCACTATGGAGGGGATAAAAGTATGAATTGTTTCCTAGTTCAAGTTGAGCGTTCAATCTGAAACATTATCAGGGCAGAGGATTAGTCCAACATGTGTTCCACAGATGGGACCATGTGCTGCACAGTCACTGCTGCTCACAGTAACACTACTCTAGCTCCATCTGCTGGAGACTATGTGCCAGTGACAATAGATCAGACAAGTGAGAGAGACATTTGAGGCTGTAATACAGTTCATACAAATTGAGCTTAAAACCGAAAAGAAAACAAATCTCTCGTGTCCCATCTTTGCACTGGCTCCATGTCAGCTGCATGAAGGATTTAAAGATGTTGAAGGTGTCGTTCAACATCTTGTGTCGCAAAATGTCGTTCTCTCTTTTCTGTCTGAAAACGTAAGAGGCAAGAAATATGTCCACATGAAAACCGGTGATAGACTGTTGATAATAAATACATTTAGATCCATGCCATAGCTCTTTTTGTGGTTTGTAAGTTGCATTTATGTAGGTGCCAATATGTGTAATGTGTACTATATGGAAGAAATGCCATTTTTGAAAGAAATACTAAAATAAAAAATGTTCTCACTGATCAGTATTTGAAGGTGTCACATTTACAAAGCCACCATATCAACCTTAAGTCTGAAAGGTTGAAAAATGCATGTGAAAGACAGATCATGTGAGACCTCTGAACCTGTGCAGGACAGGGCCTGGTTAGTACTGTGATGGGAGACTGTAAAGTTGTGTCCTTCACCCACATTGCCTAGAATGAGTCTGGTGTGTGTGTGTGTGTGAATGGTTGGTGGTGGTCAGAGGGGCCGATGGCACATACAAGTTGCCTCGTTTCTGTCAGTGTGCCCCAGGGCATCTGTGGCTGCAGTAGTAGTTTATCGCCACTGATAAACTGATTCTGTTTGATGTGGATTGGCCCAGGAATTACATAAGAATAAGCTCAGAACTAAGCCTACAAATAACTGAAGCACCATTTTTCAGCTTCCTCCCACCACAGTGTTATAACTACAGGCTCTTTGGAATATTGATGCCACAAGAACACAACCTATTTGGTATCCCAGCTTTAAATGAGATATAATGCCAGAACCAAGTGAAACATTTCAGTTCCGTACCCGAGGCCCAGGGCGAGGATGTGTGAGAGCACCAGAGACGGGATGAAGACTTTAAGGAACTCTGCGGAGAAGATCCCGCCTTTCTTCATGGCTCCAGTTTTCCTCATGCTCAGAGTGACGGAGCGGCGCGGGTGACGGAAGTGGAACTCCCTGCACACGGAACGCAGAACACACAGTTAAAACCTGACCATAAACATTACTTATATCGATTTTGGCCCTAAAAATGAGCACATATACTTTATTCTTAGCCTGATAACTGCGTCTTGTGATTTGCTCGAACAGTCTGGAGAATGTTGTGTTTTAACCATTTCTCTTTCAGAACTGAGGCAGATTGAACTGAAAATGTGATTAAAATAAGGATTAAGATTAAGAGATCCTTTATGTAGTGCACAGTATGAATGAGGGGCACACGTCAAAAGATAAGTGAACAATAACTATATACCAAAATGAAATAAAATCTATAACTTTAGCCTTATAAAGAAGTTGGTAAAAAATCTGTGACTATAGCCTACTAAAGAAGCAAGTATAAAACCTCCAACTTTAGCATGATAACGACGCGAGTATTATGCTAAAGTTATAGATGTAGGGCCCTGTACTAAAGCTAAAATGTAGTAAAATCCACTTGTGCCAGCTCCATCGGGGTTAAATCTATACTCGGTGATAATAAGTGATCCATTATCGCCTCTCGTGCACTGAACCAGACCAGAGTCTCGCAGCAACACGCCATAGTAACACGGCGGTCACGTTTCAGGCCTGATGCGGGTGTCATGGTAACGGCATACTGACTTCGGGGGAATGTTTTCGGGTCGGCTGGACCAGTCGGCCACCCAGTCTGCATCCTTCATCAGGATGTCCATGTCCCGCTCCTTCTCCAGGCTGTCCGCTTCCGACTGTGGGCACAACACAAGAGTTTAGGTGAAAGAAGTTTGTGACTGAGGCCGAGCCAAATGTATAAATGCCAATCTCTGCCTCTGTTCAATTTTAGTTTCTTTATAAAACTAAAGCTAATAAATGACATGTTTCTTGCTTTTGACTTGAATAAATGCAGTATCTTCTTTCATTTTTAGATTGTGGGGATATTGTTAAAGCTTATCCCTCTGCTCTAAAGCTGCAAGATTCACTTTTATCACAAGCGACAACGTGATGATAACCTAGTTTGGCCTTCATTGCATTAAATACATTTACTTAAATAAAAGACTTGCGCCTGATTATTTGGCCTAGTTCTTAAACTGGAACCCTGGAAGACCACTCAACCCTTTGCTTGCCACTTTTTATTGCACAGTATCCTGCATTTAACATGTTTGCACATTTCGTTCTTTTGCACCATCTTGAGTGATTCTATCCATGCCAGATGTGAAATGTAAATTTCTCCTGTGTGAGATCAATACAGTCTATATTTGAAGAATAAAAAAAATGTTTGTCAAAGATTTGAACTTTGAAAGAAGGCTTTTAAATAACTAACCTTAACCCTCTATGTCATGTTCAAATGTTTCCAAAATTGGACATTCTGGCACCACTTTTGCATTTGGTAACTGCATATGATTATGGGTGATACCAAAATAAATGCATTTAATTTGTTGAAACAGGGCAAAGAAAACACCAAACCGTATTTTTTGTTTTTACACAGATTGCACAATTTTACACGTAATTGAAATACATTTATTTTTGTATAGGCCTAAATCATAACAGCAGTCGTCTCGGAGGACTTTACAAAGTTGTTGATTAGCAAACACAGTTCAGAATCAAACAATTCGAACACAGGAAATTCAACAAAAACAAGATTTTGACGTCTAATCCTCATATATAGATAGATAACTACTAATAAGGCAAGAAGTCCACCTGGCTGTCTCTCCTGGCGTCCACGTCAAAGATGATCTGTCCCTCGTCCTGCGGGCTGGGAGGCCGCGGCGGGCTGCAGACACAAACACAAACATTACTACAGCTGTAAGTATTACAGCAGATACGTTATTTATATAGCACCTTTCACAGACCAGGATCACAAAGTGCTTCACAATTAAAACATACAGTAAAAATAGTACACATTCAAGTCAAATAAAAAAAACCTAATAAACAGAATAATCATCAACACACTTCAGATAGGCCTTTATTTACAGTGAGGCAAGAAAGCCTGCCTAAACAAATGGGTCTCAAGTCCACTGACTGACAGGGCAAGCTCATTGAAAAGGCACGGAGCAACAGCCTGGAAGGATCTATGTCCTCGGGTTTTAAAGCGAGTGCAGGGGACCATTAACAGGTTCTGAGTGGAGCACCTCAGGCTCCTGTTAGAGACACAAGGATGGATCAGGCCATTGATGAACTCAGGAGCCTGACCCTGAAAAGCCCTGAAAGTCAACACCAGAATTTTAAAATGTATTTTCTTTGTGACAGGGAGCCAGTGTTTCGACCCGAAAAGAGGAAAAGGTGATGTCGCACTTCTGATACTGTCAATGCATCAGTGAACACAGAAACCAAAGGACAATGTAAGCCTGGGAGACTCTTCACAAAAAAGTAAAGATACAATTCTTCAGTTGTTGCAGCTTAACTGTTTTTAACCTTCATATGATCCTTGTCAGAGAAGAAGCCTCTGTCATTTTCAGAAAGTGCAAGATTAAAGCTGCATGAATCTGAAATGTTGTCTTTTGGATATTTCATGACACTTTTGCAGCAATTTTGGTTAATCCTAAGATCGTCATCAACACTATGCAGCAGGAGCTAGGGATTTTCCACTTGACTTTTTCTTATTTGAAGGCCAAAGCTACTGGCACCGTAGCAGCTGCTGATTGGACTGTATGATTCTTCCTGTATAATATCACATGCATTCTGTAAAATTGTTGTTCATGTCTCGTCTCTACCATCGACAATAAAACATGTCTTCTGTCTGTGACACAACCCCAGACCCCCACGTCATTTTCTTCAGCCACCCCATTTTTAGTCCCGATTCTGGGCCCCAGCAGGTAGGGCCAGTCCCTGTGCTCCTCAGAGTCAGAGTTGGTTTCAAAGTTTCACTGTTTTTTTTTTTCATCTACTTTCCTTTGACATTGCTTCCTTGCCAACTTCTGCCGTCTCCAAAATTCACGTTATTGTCCTATGTCTTTTGACGGCAGTGAACAACTAAAATCATTCACAAACCTAAGCTCAGTCGGGCGAAACCGTTTCACTTATCAGCAAGTCAATAAAGACAAAAATATGTATTACATCTGGTTTTGTTTGAGGGGGCTACGTACTGCGGTTTTCAACTATTCTGTCAAAACTTAAGGAGCATATTTATCATACTTTGAGTTTGGCTGCACTGTTAAGCCATTAACAAGTCCCCAAAAGCAAGAAATCAACATATGTTATTCACCTTTTTCTTTTTTTAATGAAAGGTGAGGTATTCATTCTTTTCCATCAGCACAGAAACATAACTATAATGGAAATCAGACTAAATTGTTGTGTCTTAATGAGTTTGAAAGCATTTAGCTTTTGCAATCCAGTAAAAACAATCTGTGGGAGTCGATATATGACATCAAAAAATTGAATATTACAAAAAAATATTACTTACTCTTTGGTCCATAATAAACAAAAAACTGCTTTGAATATTTGTATTTGTTGACAATGTTCTGTATTTTATGGCGTGTTCAGATGGACAGAAACAGCCTGCGGTCTCTCAGCTGACGGAGAGTTACGCCCAGACGGAAGCCCAAAGGTTAAAACTCTCATGATGTGGATCGAGAGAATGCAGAGCTCTGTCAGTCAGCTTCATAAGCAGAACAAAAACACATCTTGTAAAGGCCAATTCAAAATGTGGATTTATCAGCTACAAGCGGATTTATAAAATGTATTGATGTCTTCTTTTGCCATTGTATATGTGAGAACTGACATATACAGTTTAAAAACCCAGATAGAGATATACTTGTTTTGTCCATATTTGTGACTATGAAAGTTCATTGAACGTATGTTCAATGAACATACGTTCATTGAACTTCCTGGGCGCCATGCAGGGCGCCCAGGAATTTATCGGAACTGGAGGCTATTTCCCCGAGAAGAATTGGCAGCTTTATGTCAATATCAGTGTCAGCTTTATCTGTATAACACATTGACAACAACAACAGCTGCTCAAAGTTCTTCACAAGCCCTGAAGAAGATGTGCCAAGTCTGGGATCGTGTCTTTCAATCAGACAGAAGACATGTTTTATTGTCGATGGTAGAGACAGCACGAACAAGAGATACAACAGAATGCAAGTGTATTATACAGAGCGGAGGCATGGAGACCTCCAATCAGCAGCTTCCACGGTGCCATGTAGCTTGGCCTTCAGATAGACAAAACAAGGGAAAAGTACTGGCTTCTGCACATTGATAGAATGATGAGTTTAACTTTAACAAAAGTTGCTAACTCTCACATTCCCCCCTCTGGTCACACATTCCCGTGTGACCATCAGGATCGATAAACAGCAACATAACATCATAACTCAATACTTCAAAAACTCATAAACTCGGTACTTCACTCGGTACTTCAAAAAACTCAGAACTCGGAATACTTCAAAAACTCAGAAAACTCATAAAACATGTTCAGATCTTTCATAAAACTTGTCAACAATCTTCAGTAAAATACCAAACTTCATCAGTCGATGGTGGTTCCAGATATTTCTTTGAAAACAGTCTCTCCCACTTCTCCTGTTTGTTTCTTCAGGCTGCATTTGTGTCGAGCCATGAATTCTTCTGTGACGTGTTATTTCAATCACACGTTTCAGCTTCAGTTTCCAGATTCAGCAATCCAATTCAGTCCAAATTCAGAAATCCAATTGTTCCAAATTATGTCCATGCAAAAGAGGACGATGGTATTGTCCATGTCTCAGCAGCTCACAGCCTGACTGGAATCAGGGGCTGTGCAGATTGTCCAAGTGTGCTGATCCAGATGCATTCTCTTGAGGTTTCTCAGTTTTGGCTTGAAAAAAAAAAACACTTTTTGTGTAAAAAAAAAGTAGTCTTCTGTTCACTAGATGTTACAGACAAGGCCCGCATCCTTCCACCACCTGAAGAAGATGAGCCAAGTCTGGGATCGCGTCATAAATTCCGACAGAAGACATGTTTTATTGTTGATGGTAGAGACAGCACAAACAACAGATACAACAGAATGCAAGTGTATTATACAGAGCGGAGGCATGGAGACCTCCAATCAGCAGCTGCCACGGTGCCATGTAGCTTGGCCTTCAGATAGACAAAACAAGGGAAAAGTACTGGCTTCTGCACATTGATAGAATGATGAGTTTAACTTTAACAAAAGTTGCTTCAAAGTGTTATGAAATCTCACAGCCCGAAATATAAAACATTAGAAAGCAACCAGCATACAATACACGTAAAAAGTAAAACTCAGTTGGTGTTAAAAGCCAAGGAGTAAAAAAGTGTCTAGGTAAACTATTCCACAGTTAAGGCAGCAGTAAAGGCCTGGTCTCCTCAAGTTTTGAGACGAGACCTGAGCACGTTCATAAAAAGCTGGTTTTCGGACCTCCCTCATGTATGGGGCAAGCAGAGATGCCAGCTCTGACTGATATACAGGGGCTAAACCATCTAAACCATTTAAAAACAAGCATCATAATCTTTACCATCCTCGACGGCTGACTTTTAGACCTCTCCTGTTTCACTGCTGCCTGTGATCCCGGGCACATAAACATAAACATAATATGTGTGGTATGTTAATCACTATAGCTCAGTCATCCACTGCAAGGTCAAGCAACAGGTCCAGGGTTACAGACTGACAGACATAACCAGCTTATGTAAGTAAGTGTATAAGTGGAAATGTATTCAGAGTCTAGACAGTTTTTCAACCAGTGTGCTGTGGTACATCAGTGTGCCTTGAGATGTTGTTGGTCAAAATAATGTGAGAAGATTGGAAAGATTTTTGATGCTCGTTTCATTTTCTATATGTACCTACTTTGATTAGAATTACTTTGCTTTCATACTAAAAGCTGCAAAGTGTCATGTTTGTATGAGTTTCACTTCCTACAAAACACAGAATGTTGCATATTTTTATAATTTACTTCCAAGTTGTAAATGAGAAACTGCATATTGTGTCATCTATAATTTTGATCATGTCTAACATAATTGTGATTTGTCGAAGTTTGAGTTTTGTGCTACATTCGTTGGTATATGAGAAACTGTATAATTTGTCATCTTTGGACGTATGGTCACATTGTGACAGGGGTTAGGCAGTATATGTCTCGACTTCAGCCCCTTTTCGGTCAGGCATTGTTTTGCACAAGGTCCTTAATGAACACATTTTGCTTCTTTTTTTTGTGGAAAACATATGATCTCGTGTGACCTAAGATTTGATATTGGCTGAAGAAAACAACTACAACTAAATGATGATGCTTCTCTAGGATAGACGTATAAATGTCTTCAATATACATTCAGCTAGTTGTGAGCGCTGCAATTTGTCTGTTTGGTGGTTTGAACTAAAGTTTGAACAAGAGCAGTCATCAGTGGATAAAATTTCTGTAGGGTCTGCGTCTGTGTGTGAGTTACTTTGGCTGGTAATTAGTCACTTCTACCATTCAATAAATGCAGTTACTGACCCAATTACTTTTGGAGAGACATCACTATAACTAGTTAAAGACCGACTAAACACCAACCGTTTTTTAACCCATAAACTGCATAAATGTGTTTATTGTAGTGCTCTCTACATATCCTGATCATTTGACATTTTAGTTCAAATTAGAAAAAATCTCACTTTTGAGCCAAAAAACTTCTGTGTTGTGCCCTCTCTACCTTTTTTGGTGGTACTACATTTGAATTTGGTCCTGGCCTCTCCATTGACTCTGTAATTCTGTGTTACGTCAGTTGGTGTGACGTGTGTCTGTCTGCGCCAGTAATATAAATCCATTCAACTCTCACACACGCCCCAGGAGCAGGTTGGAGTATTCTGGCGACATCTAGTGGATTAAAATTAAATTACATGAGTAATTCTGAGATTATTGTGTGGATTAGGTTTAGGTGTGTAGCTCTACAAATATCTTAGTGTGTAAACAAGGGTGGAATGAGACTTTCTGGTGTGTAAACTATTGTTTTAAGCAGCAATGACAACTGTCTGTTTTTTTTTGTGTGACTGGTGAGCTGTCAATCACAGCCCAGACCACACCCAACTCTTCTTGCCCTTTAGTCGTCCAGGCAACGCCCTTTTTAGAGAAAATTTTCAAATCTCCATGTGGGCGGAGTAAGGCTGGGCACAGGTGTTTAGTCGCTCTTTAAAGTAGACATAAAAGGTCAGACAAAGCTACCCATGCAATTAAATCTATGTACTAGCTCCTCTCTCTCAGTTTGGTTCTATCACTTGTTTTCACAAGCATGTATGTGTTTTTGGCCTGTGGCTTCTGCTTTTTTGTAACACTTTTAAGATGAAAGAGGACCACCATCAGGTCTGAGTATGTAAAAGTTAAAATCTTCTAATAAGTTTTCTAATAAGATGAGACGGCAGTGTGGTCTGCTTAATTCACAAATTTCTCCTTAAAACTCTATGCAAGAACAAACAAAATGTATTTATGAAACCAAAGAAATGTTGGGTACTCAACTTTAAGTTTAAGCAGTAATGTAATAAACAGATTGCATTTTCTGTTTTGAGCTGCAGAGACCCTGTACCTGTCGCAGGAGGAGTTGCTGCGGCTGGACTCGTGCTGTGCGTCCAGCAGGATCTTCTCCATGTCTCCCTTGTGGATGGAGGAGGAGGACGGCACGTGCTCCAGGCCTCCTCCCATGGCCTCCTCCTCCTCCTCCTCCACCTGGGGCAGAGGCAGCAGTGGGGTCCCAGACAAGGAGAGCGGGTCAGGGGCGGCAGACGAGGCTCTGTGCATCTCTAACTCCACCCAAGAGCCTGAAAACACCACAGAGAGAAGAGGACTTTAGTTTGCATCATATACGCATGGGCGTCGGACTGGGGGGGTAAAGGGTACCGAGTACCCAGGGCCCAAGGCGGGGAGGGGCCCTCTAAAGTATGTCTATATATGTAAATGTAATACGTATTGTGGCATTTTCATGTTATTTCAATTTTAATAAAAGGGGCCTTGCATAATAATAACCAACATTTTAAACTCAGCTTTCGTCTAAAAACTAATTTGTATGCTATATCAGGGCCCTGCCACCCCCTTACAAAATTACAAATGGTACGACCCACATGTGCGCTTGTTGCTGTCGCTGCAGCGTGTGTGACAAGCAGCGGCAGAAACGGGAAAAAAAAGAAATGTCTGTTCCAAGAATAATTAGGATTTCAGAAAAGAAAAGAGACAGGACAAGGGGAAAAAGTTTAATGAGAGCAAGCAATTGCTTACTTAGTTCTTCCACAATAGAGGTGAGGATATAGAGTCGTGTTTAGGCAACATCAGGACAGGAAAAAAGTAGGGCCGGGACTTTAACGCGTTAATTGCGATTAATTAACGCCACAAAAATTAGTGCGTTAAATAAATTGGCGCATTTTAATCGCATGTGTTTTTTCCACCGCGGAACCTTCCTCACTAGAGAATGATTTTCACACGGACCGATTTTACTAGCGCGCCAAATGAACTTTTCTTGTTCAAAAGTAAGTCATAACAACAATAGACCATGGATCTATTATATTAATGCATAGACCAAGAAATCTGAGTAAATTAGAGACATAATTAGAGACGGGAAAGAGCGCTGTGTGGATCTATCATGGATCTATTACAATAACGGGAGCTATGGTGTGTGAGGAGGAGGAGCAGCGAACAACTCCTCAGAGAAGGAGGAGCAGAAGGAGCAGCGACACAGGTCTGTGAGCTGCTATTGCTGATGTTTTAATTCGAATGCACACATAAAAAACGTATTAGATAAGCTTTTATGCTCACTGTTAGTGCAGTGGATTTTTGTTATAAAAAGCGTCTGTTGTTGTCAGAGTGTGGAGGCTATGAAAGCTACGTTATTTGATAGGAAAGAAGTCCGTCTGATCCCCTTATCATCCTCAATGAACATGTGTTGCTTAAGCTTATATATTCAGTCATTAGTCAATTCAATTAAAAATCCATGTGAAAAAAAAACTTCTCACTGCTCTCAGGTCAAATATTTATATGCGATTATATATATGTGCATATATATATATACACATACATACAGTACAGACCAACAGTTTGGACACACCTTCTTATTCAATGATTCTTTTTTGTTTTCATGACTATGAAAATTGTAGATTCAGACTCAAATAGCCCTTACACAGTCTGGGTGTGAATCTACAGCATTAGCATGAAAAGAAAGATCACTGATTGAATGAGAAAGTATGTCCAAACTTTTGGTCTGTACAGTATATTATTTATATTAGGGCTGTCAAGCGAGTTAATTACAGCTAAAAGATTAAGATTAGCTTTATTAATCTCACAACAGGAGAATCCATTTGGCATGGATAGAACACTCAGAATTGTGCAAAAAGTAAGAAATGTGCAAACATGTTAATGCAGGAAATATAGAATATATTTACAAAAGTGGCAATTAGAAAGAGGCAGTAAGAAGTGTCAATATTAGTGTCAATAGTAGTGCAGGTTTAAAAAAAATAAAAATAATTAATTGTAATTAATCGCATTTCTAACTATCGGCAAAAATAAATAAATGACCACATAGTGTACATATGTACTGTATTTGTTTATTATAACAATAAATCCATATAAAATGGCACTAACATTAATAACATTCTGTCTTTCTGTTTAGACTGAGACCAAAACTATTGTTATTATAGATGTGGGACATTTCAAAACTGTCGGAGGCAGAATGTCATTAAATCAGTTTGATTTGATCGCAACATTTTACCCCAGCTTGAATTTTACGAGTTTAGTTGCGTTTCAGAAGGAGACACAGGGGGGACATGGTCCAGCTTCAGCGGCGTGTTTGCGTGCACATGTTACTCACAGGTAAGACACGCACACAAATTGAAGAGAATAGTTCTATGGGTGCATGGTCTTGGATATGATCACGTTACGGCGGCGCCGTTTGCTGTGTTGTTGTTAGCAGCTCGCAGCTGCCCCGGGTCAAAACCCTGCAGGAGGATGCGCTCCTGTTCAATTCATAGCAAACAGCAGCAAGTACCTCGCGGCCACGCGTGTATTCTTTTTTTTAACTTCCCAGAGACCTGCTCTGATCTGTTGCCATCTCACACACACACGTGTCCACTGCATTCTGAGTGATATTATGGGATGTATGGGCATCGGACATGCGTCAATTGCGGTCTTTTTTTCGCAATTAATGCATATACATATGTAAATATAATATACATGAAACGTTTTGTAGGGGCCCATCGAGTCTGTTTGTACCCGGGGCCCAGAATTTGGTGCTACCCCCCTGCATATACGTGACACAAACATCTCATTCAAAAAGTTGTGTTCATACAGTACTCAGAAGTGCATTTCAGTTGCAAGGCAGGTGCTAACAACTATATGGACCCCATGTAGGTTTTTTTTTTTTTTTTTAAAGGCGAGCCAATGTATCAGTCTTTCTCTACCAAGCTGCATTAATCCATCAGTTCATTGAGGACATGCAGGACATGATTTTGTCTTTACATAAAAACCCAAAAAATATTCAACACATTTCAGAAAAGAAAAATGTATTTGAGACATTGAAAACTATCCGGCCGGACATCAAAAACACTGGAATTAAAATCAATTCATTTTTGTATGGCCCTAAATCACCACAGCAATTGTCTCAGAGGACTTAACCAATTTGTTGATTCACCAACAACAAATCAAGAATATCAAACCGTTTAAAACACTAAAACAAACATAGGAGTCATTGGTTCATAGGGAGTGGGATGACCGATGTCCATAAATGTTCTTAAATGTCCTTAAATGTCCCGGATCATCACTGCCCTTAGCAATGAACAACAACAAAAAACAGTGGGAAAAAAGTGAGAAACTTTGGGGAGGCCCACACTCAGAAAGGGATCCGCTCCCACAGACAGACTGTAGAACGAGGGCCGATGCTGTGTGGTGCAGGGCTGTGTGGTGCAGGACTGAGAAGGTCCCTTTAAATCACAGGTGTCAAAGTCAAGGCCCGGGGGCCAGATCCGGCCCGCAAGACCATTTCCAGTGGCCTTTAGATGATTTTAAATTATTATAAACAGCATAAATGGTAATAGGCGACAATGGCATGTTATCCATTACTGAGAAAACCACCATCAAATATAATACCATAATAAATAAAGGATTTCCCAATTTTCTTAGGAAAGAACCGCCCTCTTCACTTTTTGAACAAAACTCTCTGGTCTTATTACACGAGCACAAATCACCAGAATAATTGACAACTGGGAGGACCAATAATCTTGATGATCCACCCGGAAGTAGAAAATCTTCCTATATACCTTCAATATTTGGTCCAGTTATGGTTCAGTCCACAGGAACTGAACTAATTCTAATCAGAAAAGGATATCCAATCCAACTAATGTGAAACAAGCCATTTATATACAGTAGATACCTTCATATTCCAAAAAAATGTAAGACATGAATCCACTTATTTTTTCAGTCCCTGGCCAGCCCCTTCTTTTTTTAATCGGCCCTCAACAAAAATAAGTTTGACACCCCTGCTTTAAATCATATAAAACCTGGACAGCTGTAGTATCGTTTGATTGTGCCCATAACTGTATGAGGACATTCTTACATCCACCCATCTCTGAAACGAAGTTTGATTTGTTGCATTTATGTACCCACACTCTAAAAACTTCCCAGGATCCTGTTGATCTCATGTCTCGTTTATTAAAACAAGTGTCCGAGTGGGAGACTTCCTAACATTCACAAAAGAGGAGAATATGTTTGAGGCACATGAGGAGGCACATCCTGTTTGAACAGTGACTTAAGGCCGATAAGATAAAGCTACACTCAATAAACATGTGAGTCTCTGGAGGCCACACAGGAGGTCAGCAGCCATGACAGTGCACACGTAGACCTGTTCTACTCTGAGCACGGTGGGCCGAGACTAGAGAGCCGAGGGAAATGTGACGATGAAACAACACAATAGTAAATGTTAATGTGATATTTTCATTTTAAATTACATCTGCATCTTGTATATGTCTCCAGTTAACAGGTCACATGTAAAAGTCATAATTGGCCTTTTCTGAACAAAAGTTTAACGTGGAATTATAACAATACAATCCAAACATCTATAATAATACAATAGATATGACTATTTTTACAGTTTTCAGACAGATTATCCAGAGATTAAGTATGTAATCTTTATTTACATAGCGCATTTCACAGACCAAGGTCAGACAAAGGGCTCTGCAATGTTTTTGGGGCAATATTTTTCCATTCACTCCAACACTATGGCACTTCGAAACCTCAGACCGTCACTATCCGTTCACTCAATCAGTACATTCAGACCTTTCGTACACGTTGTCAGTGGTAGTAAAAACCGAAGCACCCGGAGAAAACCTACACAGAGACAGGGAGACCATGCAAACTCCACACAAGAAGGCCCAAAATGGAATCCTAATCCAGGACCTTCTTGCCACCCCAGAGAGCCGAATGAGTCTCTAATTTGGGTTGCCAGTTTGTTAAGTGAAATAAAGGTGGTTTTAGCTCCATCTATTTTTTTTCTTAACACATTTCACTAAACAAAAACCACATATACAGCTTCCAGATTCCAGACCTTGGGGGACCTGCGGAAGAGGTGGGCCGAGTCTGGAGTAGAAACATCCAGAGCCACTGTGCACAGGCGTGTGCAGGAAATGGGCAACATAAACCAGAACCAGAAACAGCAGCGGAAGCGCCTGACCTGGGCTACAGAGAAGCAGCACTGGACTGTTGCTCAATGGTTCAAAGTAAATAAGCAAATTTTGCATGTCATTCGGAAATCAAGGTGCCAGAGTCTGGAGGAAGACTGAGA